AAAGAAAATGAATTTTTATCATCCAAATGACTAAATACCAAAACTATTTATAATAATATAATAGGAAAATGTTCTAAAGAGAGTGATGATGACAGTTAAACCAACATTCTTTTCCTTCAAAGTATATCAAAAAGTTGTCTTTATTACTAGGAGAAAATCATAGAAATTCAGCAGCATGTTTAATGGATGTATAACAAAGACATCGCCTTACCTTGAAAAATATCCATGAAAGTATAACAGATATATAAAAATTTTACGTCATATTGTCTATGTTGGAAYAAAACCTCAAGCTCTTATCTAAATAAAACGAGAGTAATCATGGCAATTCTAGATAGGAAAAAAAAAAGTAAGAATGAAGACAAGACCAAACCTATATTGGCAGAGAAATGTTTGTTATTATATCTATTATTATTCAACAAATGGGAAGTGCAGGGAGCATTCTTTTAGAATTAGTGACATTCTTGGTATCACTTGCCATGGGAAAAAAAAATAAGAGAATGAGAGTAGAAAAATGACAGAATTCTATCAATATCTCAATCATATTTAAGTGTGGTCCCTAAGTGGACAGTTTATTAGACTTATGGGCAGGTACAAACATACAGGAGACAAAACCTCAGCTCAAAGTGGTTTTAACTGAGACAATGTTGTTGTTATTGTTGCTGTTTTTCAATGAATTTTGGAGAAGCTAAAAGACAGGACAGAAGAAATTAAGGAACCAGGCTATTAGAGAGCACCAGAACTAAAAGCATGTTCTAGAGGTTGCCAKTTCTCTTTGTCTCTCTGTCTCTTTCTCTCACTTCTCTTGAGTTCATTTCTTCTTTGTGTGCTGTAAAACAGCCACAGAAAATTACATTCCTATCTTTTTAGACTTGTGACCTGASAAGTAATAGGTTTTCTCTCTCTCTCATACTCTACTGTTCAAACAACCTCCCAAAGTCTCACTTGAATCATTTACARTTGCAAAAATGGGATAGTCTTCTCTCCCTTAAACAAAGGAAAGTCTTCATAAAACTGATGTGGCAATCATTCTGGGGAACTAGGTGGTCCTCTGTACTAACTGGTAAAATGATTAAGAAAATGAGTAAAAACACCCCAAATCTGAAAGAATAAACACATATACAAGTAAATAAAAGTTCAAAACAATCATTTTCCAACAGTTTAGGAACCTCTAACAAGATGGATATCTAGCACCAGGACAYTGTACACATTCATGGTTGCTGTAGACCTCATTTATGAATCTGGGGCTTCAACTAAYTACCCAGATTTCACAGTGGTTTTTCATCTACTTCTCTTCTTTCTTCAAACTCATCATACAATGCTTCCACTTTTAACTAAGCTAAGAAAACTCTAGGTTATCTCCTGTGCATTTGTATCTGCTCACTAGTCTAGTAAGCTGTCCAGTCGGTYACTGTGTGGCACTAGCTATGTCTTTCCTCTATGGCCTTCGATTKTTGATTACTGATAGATCTACTAGGTTCCATTGTCTCTTAGGGACTGGAACCTCTCTCAGAACATTGTCCAGTTACTGCTCTGTCTTTCAAAAGTACCTTCCTCCACCAGAGCCCATAGTAACTAGGAACTGGTATCCGGAAGTGAAGTGCTGATTATTTCTTTTTAAAATAGGATTGTCTCTTTAAGAGATATCARAGTAGCACTGCCCACATCCCAATGTCTTACAGACTCTAGCAAAGACTCTAGGAAACGAAATAGCTTTTCAGAACTTTGCATACARCCTTCTGATATAACATAATATGCAGACATAAATCACAATGGATCTGGACAGTAAATAAATCTAATGACAGATAATGTGCTCTCCTCAAAAATGACTCTCTTCTTGGTCAACCAAAAGAAAATGTTTGTTTATTTCAGTGGAAGCAAGCTCATTATTATTGGTTCTTTCTTTCTTGAGGACTTTGGTTCTCTCAGTTTCATGCTAGGTGCAATTTTTTTTTTTTTGCATAGCAGAAACTTGGACTTGAGTTCAAGTGTTCTGATTCTCAGTTTATTTCTCTAAATATTGGTAACAACCATGAGGAGTCTATTTTCATGCRAACAAAAGACAAACAAAACTGTGTAACTGGAGAGAATCAGATCATTGAAACTGCTATTAGYCCAATGCTATTCTTTTTTTAATAGTTTTTATTTGTTATTTTTAGTTATACATGACAGTAGAATRAATGGACTTTCACATATCATACATACATGGAGTATAAATTCCCATTTTTGTGGTTGTACATGATGGGGAGTTACACTGGTCGTGTCTTCATATATGAACATAGGAAAATTATGTCTAATTCATGTTACTATCTTTCCCATTTCCATCCCACCTCCATTCCTCCAACTCTACCCTTCCAATTTGGCGAACCTCCACCCCTGATTGCCCACCCTCCCACCTATTGTGAGTCAGTATATGCATACCAGAGAAAAAGTTCAGMCTTTTGCTTTGGGGGATTGGCTTATTTCATTTAGCATGATAGTCTCCAGGTTCATTCATTTACCTGCAAATGTCATAATTTCATTTCTCTAAATGGCTGAGTAATATTCCATGGGGCATTTGTGCCACATTTTCTTTATCCATTCACCTGTTAAAGGGCACCTAGGTTGGTTTCATAGCTTAGCTTTTGTGCATTGAAGTGCCATAAACATTGATGTGGCTGATTTTAAGTCTTCTGTGCATATGCAGAGGAGGGGAATAACTGGGTCAACTCGTGGTTCCATTCCAAGTTTTCTGAGGAATCTTCATACTGCTTTTCAGAGTGGTTGCACCAATTTGCAAGYCCTGCAAGCAATGTGTGAGTGTGGCTTTTCCTGCACATCCTCACCAACATTGTGACTTGTATTCTTGATAATTGCCATTCTGACTAGAGTGAGATGAAATCTCAGTGTAGTTTTAATTTGCATTTCTCTAATTGCTACTGATGTTCAACATTTTTTTTTCATATGTTTGTGGACCAATCATATTTTTTCTTCTGTGAAGTGTCTTGTCAGTTCCTTTGCCCATTTATTGATTGGGTTATTTGTTTTCTTGGTGTTAAGTTTTTTGAGTGCCACTGCTTTTGTAGATCTCCAGATGAAGTGACAACACAATATAGCACTAATTTAACTATAATTTACCTTAAGTACATGAGTCATCTTCCTAACTAGACAGTGAGTCCTGAGCAGGCAGGAACCACATCTTACATTATTATCTAATAAGGGGTTGTATGGGGAACAGGGTCCCAGAAAAGTACTTATTTTCATTCACATTTAACCTACATACTGAAAATAGCTATTCTCCTTTCCCAGCATTGGATATTGAAATCATTAATATAAAAATCAATTTGTATTAGAAATTTTTCAAATCATATTCTTATTTTATTAGCATGTAATTTTCTGAATGTGGTAGAAAAATCTCTGCTAATGAATTCTATTTCAAATGCTCTCATTATAAGACTTTCAAATCTCATTAACTAAACCAGGCATTAAAAATACAATGATAATAAAATGAAACGGGAAACTGTTGATAATAGATTTGTGTAACTTTCCTCTTTTAGTGAGAAAAAAAATATGGCTTCAGTCAGTGATAGACCAAGAATAAGAAGAGTACTTATAAAATACAGGGAATACACTTTTCTACATGTTATAGTACAGCCCGAAGTCTTGCTAGAGTTATGGAGGCAAGTATGAAAATATGGTGGATCTTAATAAGGGCATGTTGATATTGGCATTTTTATGATGTACATATTCAATAGCAATGCAAAATGTCCTGTATAAAGATAACATCATCTAATTGCAATCTTTGGGTAAAGTTGTCCAAGCCTTTATTTAAACTGTTCATATTGATAACTTGACCCTAAGCTTATTGATTAATATCTATTCTAGGCATCTTTGCCATACTTTTCTGGAAATGTAGAGAAYAGACAACACTTAAGCAAGAAATTTACGTTTTTAAAAAGTGTTGGCCTTGCCCTAAGTCTTCTTTTTTCCCCCCCTCTCTCTGTCAGATATTACACTCCCTGGAGTCAGAAAGGATTAAGAACAAGAAGTAGGAAAACAGAAAGAAAGAAAACAAAAATCAAGTGACTAACTAATCACCCAGTTCTGGCAGATTTGAATTCCTTAGAGAAGTACAAAATGTCAGAGCTAGAAGCAATTGTCAGATCATTCTAGACCTACCTCCTATAAAGCTGAGTATGATGGTAACAAACAAGTAGAATTATTTACTCAAAATCTGTTGCTGATTGAAGGTAGAATGCCCAGCTCAAGGCAAACAAGTATCTCTCTTTCGAACACCTCCCAGCAGAATGAATGTTTGATGAAACRTACAATCTAGTCCTCACTCTGCCCCACTTTGCTGAAATCATGTTTGCTGAAATCACGTTCTATTGGGCCCTGTATCTATTCAGCCCTATGTTCACTTCCTATGATTGCGCCTTCAGTCTCTTCATGTGGCTCCTGTGAAGAGAGCTTGCTTAGGAAAGGATCTCAAGGAGATCTGAGCCTACACTCACTTTACCACTGAGATATCTAGGACTTCTTGACTAAATCACTTGCACATACCATTTTGGGTTCCATTTCTCCACACTACAAAAAAAAAAAAAAAAGGAAAGTGCATTGTATGGTAGAAACCTTCTGTTCAAAATCTGGTCCTAGGACCTGCAGCACTGACAATACCTTGGAGTTTCTTAGAAATGGAGAATTTCAGGCCAGACCCACTGAATTGCAATCTGCATTTTATCAAAATATGCAGGTGATTCACATGCACATTAAAGTTGGAAAAGTGCTGAGGGGATTTTAAAAATGGTTTCCCTCCTGTTACACATTATTCATGCTTTTTAGCAGAGACATGATTTAACTGCATCAATTTTTGGCACTGAGAAAAGCTGTGCTATTGGTGATATACAGAGATAGGGAATCATCTAACAACCCTCTCTTTCTCTCCTCATAGACACTTCTTCCCACTTTGGCTGTTTTTGCTCTTAAAATGAAGGCTTACCATTTTCTGCAATCTTTGTCTACAGGAACACATACAGCTGGGAGAGTTCTCTGCCAGGTGAGCAAATGAGCAAGCATGTTATCCCTTCTGGAGCAGCACCTTGGGAAGGAAAGTGACTGGGTGAAGGTCACCTGCAAATGGTGAGTGGAAACGAAACTCCAGAAAGATAGCTTACCACCTGGTAAGTTCTGAAGCATTAGTGCACTTCCATGTAATGCGGCTCTCAGGTGCATTATATTTCATGCACTTTTCCTGCCCTGGAGCCATTGTTTCCTTTGTAATTACAGACTCATACTCAGCTGCCTTGAGAATACTGATGATTGTAAAAAAGACAGCTCACCACAGAGGGTAGGAAGAACTGGTCAAATTGCAAATCTCTTGTGTAAAACGAGAAATCTGTGATTTGGGCTGACTTTCCACCTACCACCATCACCACCACCACCACCACCACMACAACAAAAGATTTCACAAGCAAACTGTCCTCATAACCCCCTTCCCTTTGGTTAATGCTGTCATGAAAAGGCTAAGCAGAAAAAAGCTGGCAGATAGATACTGCAGATTCAAGTGGAAGACAAACAGAAAACCACTTATCTGTGGATTAAAAAAAATCACACATTACATTGGTCAAAAGCAAGACCTAAAACTAGAAAAATGTTGCCATACATGATTAGATGTGAAGCATCCAATAGTTTTAAGGAGGCTTGGGTCCAACACTACAATAGTGTTGCCTCAAATTAGACCCCTTGCATATTGTTACAGTTTAGATTTTAGGTGTCCCCCAAAAGCTCATGTGTGAGACAATGMAAGAAAGTTTAGAGAAGAGATGATTTCGAATAAAAGCCTTAACCCAATTAGCGAATTAATCCCCTGCTGGGACTGACTGGAAACTGAAGGTGGGTGGGGTGTGGCTGTAGGAGGTGGGTATTGGGGGTGTGCCTTTGGAATATATATTTTGTATCTGGCAAGTGGAGTCTCTCTCTCTCTCTCTCTCTCTCTCTCTCTCTCTCTCTCTCTGCTTCCTGATCATCATGTGAGCCATTGCCCTCTGCCACAGTCTTCCATGATGATGTTCTGTCTTCCCTTGAGCCCTGAGGAACAGAGCCAGCTGTGTGGACTGAGACCCCTGAAACTGTGAGCCCMAAATTAAAATTTTCCTCCTCGAAAATTGTTCTTATTATGTCTTTTAGTCACAGCTGTGACAAAGCTGGTTAAAAAACATAGTTCATTCCTGTGGAACATGGAATTATATGTTATTTAATAAGTTTTTAAAGTTAGTTTTTATTTAATTCATCTTTTTCTAAGAGGAAACATAACAATCCTCAATATAGAAAAGCAAATAAGTAGCTCAGATAATAAGCTATACTCATTTCCTTCAGACCAGGGTATTTCTTGTCAATTAGTGTCTCCCACATTGAGTCCACACAAAGATCTAGATGCAGAATCTTTCTCAATAAAAGAAAGCAGGCACCAAGAGCCAGTGACAAATTGTGAGACTTACAACTAATCCTTGATTCTAAGAAGTATTGATTTTTCAAAAATTAAAGTTTCTAATATTAGGTAATGACAGAAATAATTTGTCTCTCCTGCTACATCCCCCGCCTACATCCACCAAACTTTTCATTAGCTCAACAGCCACTTTTATGAATCAATGTTGTTTTAAAATAAAATAAGTATGAATTTTCTTTGTCCCCTACTTTAATGCTTTTGAGTAAAAGGAGTTGTGTGTTTGCATGCTTGTTTTTGAGATAAAATTCAACTGACATACAATGGTTCACCCACTTTGTAAAAAGCAAGACAGTGTATTGAAAAGACAATATAAACTTACCATACAGATCAGCAATTCTGTTTCTGGGTATGGACCCAAATGAAAACACATTTTCAATGAAATAGAATTTTTTTCAGGTTTATATTCATGGCAGCACTATTCATAACAACTCCCAAATGGAAACAACCTGATTATACATTGGCTAGAGAATAGCCTAGAAAAGTATGACACATCCTTCTCACAAGAGGATGTTATTCAGCAATAAAAAGKAATGAACTATGGATGCAGAGATGAGCCTCAAAAACACTATGCTAAGTGAAAGGAGCCAGGCACAAAACCCACATATTGTRCAATTCCATTTATATGAAAGGTCCAGAAGAGGCCAATTTACAAAGATACAAAATAGACTGGTGATTGTCTAGGGCTCGGACTGGGGCTGGGGATGGAGATTAGCTACAAATGGATATGGAGAATCTATTGAGGCAATAAAATTTTTCTAAAATTGATCATGGTGATGGTTGCTCAACTTGATAAATTAACTTAATGTTTAAATAGATGAATTTATGATATGCAAATTAAATCTCAATAGAGTTGTCAAAAACATTTCAACTGATGAGAGATAAGGAACCTGGCCAAGCATGATGGAGTGCACTTGTAATCTGTGAGCTGAATCTCTGCTTCTGTGTCTGACTCTATCATTCCCAATGCGCTTATATCAGGTTAGTTTTTCTCATTGATTCTCAGACACAGAATCATATTCTTAAYAGATTTTTTTGCACTCATGGAATGTTTCCTCAGTTTTCTCTCAATCCATCACATCTAGACCATAKATTCCTTACTCATCTGTAGAATTCCTTTCTTAGAAACAATAAAAAACCCAGGGCCTAGATTAGCAGTTCATGTAGAATGAGTCCACGTTGAACACCATTAACCTCTGATCTACATTCCTTTATTAACTTAAATCCACAATAAGAATTTTGGGGTCTGATAGAGCAGCCATGGGTTTTGGGAAGTCTCTGGGGGAAGACCAGCATGATCATTTTGTAACTTTGTGAAGAATGGACAGAGAGGTGAAATGGTAGCCTGATGACTTAGATGAGGAATTCTGGTCACTTGTTCTACTTTAGTGGATTGGAGAAAAATGTAGACATTGAAGTTGTATTGATTTTAAAATAAATACAATATAAATTGATTACATTTGAGCCAAAACTGTACAGTTAAGTAGACTGATTGTACCCTAGCTATAGTAGAAATACAGGAATATGTGGTAGGAGAACTGCATGACAAAAATGCAAATTGAGAATTTTGCTCAAAATTTTGATGGCGTGAATGTAGAGCAATGCCCATCATCTATAGAATAGTATTTAGGATCTACATGGATTATAATAATGCATAAACTCTCTATAAATAATATGTGGATAATTTAATTACAAAGATGATGCAGTAAATCAAGATAAAGGCTCRTTCCAAAATGAAGAGCTTCCAGAAAGTCCAGCCTTGGAAACATGATAATTGTAGTTAGATGCCAGGGTCAACCTGTCATGATTGGGTACCATTTTAGTTCTTTGTCATTATGCTCAAGACTTAAAKATTTGAGAAAGAAGATTGATTTAGCCAACTTAGATTAATACCACAGCTCAAGAAGAGCAACATCTTTTGGCTAGGGGAGAACAATGTCCCTTGATTTATATACATTTCCACTGGTTTATATATAATTGGCATTTTGCAGAGGGAAATCAATATGTGATTAGAACAGGTTAAAGATACCTGAACAAAGCAAAAATGAAGAACCAAAGTCCATTAAAATTATTGTGTCATATCTAACTTACTCTTCACCATACTTTATGTAATTTAAAACTGCGTGAAAACATACTCTGATTCATAATGTTATGAGATCTGTACATTTTTGCTTGCAATGTMAATTTTATTTGCAATGACTTTTAGCCAACCACTCACTAAATTCTATCCATTCTTTAATTAATAGTAATGTAATTTAGAAGTTTCCAGTAAAAATTTCATCATCTTCAATGCTCTTTTAAACCTCTCTGTTTATCTCACATGACATATACTTATATATGTGTAGCATCTCCTTATTTTGAGAGTGAGCTACTTGTGCATAGGTCTTATTGAACTCTGTATCCCTGACAAAGATTAAAATGGAGGTGACCACATAGCAGACATGAAATGATAAATTGTCAAATGTATGATCATAGCAATAAGTAAGCACAAGTTTTTCTACTGAGTAGGAGGTGGATTAAATAAGGGAGTATCCTAATTTTGCTTTATACCTGCAAGGAGGTTATGTTCTTGTTTAATCCATTCTGTCCTCTCTCTAAATGCAAGACATTATGCCCAGCAATTAAGCAGTTAGAGACAATAAGTGAGGTATTTTTCTGTGCCATTCAGAAGCAATTGCAAGCTATGGGAATTAGCATTTTCCTTCCAGTGGAATGCTCAGCAGCTGCAAAAAGTGCCTTGCTGAATGGCATGTGACACTGATTATATTATCTGGTGATTAAAAGGGTCACAATTAGATAAAACCCTGTGCCAATGAGTGTGTTGCAACTCCAACTCACACGAGCAATCTTCCCTTTCCCACTGAGCTAATGCTGGCCTTCGAATAATGGAAGACTCAGAGTTCTGCCACCCTCTATCATTCCAGCAAGGTTCTGCTCTATAATAGGTGGTAGTAATTCAGTTATAATTAAACAAGACCTGATATATTATTTCCTAATGAACTCAAGTGAAGTCATCTCCCACTTCTTCCCAGTGCCTCTAATTAGGCAATAARGACTATATCATGAGCAATAAAGATCATTTTTCTGGGCTGGTGATGAGGGATTAGAGAGTACACAGGGAGGATCCTATGGCCCAGAGTGAGAGGCAGGTAGGCGGCAGTTCTGAATGGAACATCCTCCATTCCTCTCACCATCTGCTCCCAAATTACCTAGGTGGCAGGCACTGATGGGGAACAAATTGAATTGAAGCTAGAACAAGAAGCTTGAAGCCATCAGTCACTAGCCCAGAAATTTAAATCAGAGCTTTATGTGTGTGGGTCCTTTGCATAATTATTCTGGTGCTTTATTAATTTCCAAGCTTTTTATATCTACTGTCTGGTTGGATCTTGGGAAACTCAAGGGATTTAAAATAAGTAGCTTCCCCCATCCTTATGCATGAGATGATCAGGATTGCAACTTTGAAGTGGCATGCATGATGTGGGAAGGTTATTGCATTCACAGTTATCCACCGCTGAACCCTAAACAGAGTCCACTCTAAAGTGGTTTTGATTATAAATTAGTTTCCTATAATATTAACCAGTAATCATGCTTTCCTCTATTCCTTTTCAGATAATTAAGTGAGGAAAAGCCATTATTTCTGTATTTTCCTTTAGTTCATTCAGTGTACAGGTAGAAAATGGAGGTCTCCAAAACTCCATGATTTTGTGATATAGGGTGCTTCAGGGAAAAACAGCACTGTCTATAGTATATTCTCCTGATTTTGGATTCTGAGGGAGCTATTTTACAAGGGTATAAGTAACTGAGAACAAAGCAAAAATAACTCTTGTGGACAGACATGAATATAGAGCCTATCAATGGAAAGACAAACCTCCTTGCTTCCTGTGGGAAGGCCAGTTCACAGATTTATTTCAATATTGTTGATCTACAAATGAATCTATTTAACTCCTCCTTTAAATGGTTGTGATACCTGTTTGGTTTCCTCATAGGAGTGAAATAAAATCTTTAAYCCATGTTCATTTTGTATCTTCATGAGAGTAATTAGTTTATCCTTTGAAAAGGAATTATCTTTTAACAGTAAGTGAAAGTTTATCAGTTTACATATTGCTGTTGACAATAAATTGGAGAATTAGCAACATGAGTACTCATAAGTATTCTATGGCTCACAAAGCAAAACTATTTATTCTCCGACTTTAAAGAAAAAGTTTGCAGACCTTCATCTAGAACACATACRTCCAACAGAGACTCATGGATCAGAGGATCCGCTTTTAGAATTTTTTTTTTACATGTTTAAGGTATCAAGATTGAGCATAAATGAGAACCAGTATAATAAGCCTTTACTTGTCCTTAAATTGCTAAGAGAGTTATTTTGGAGCATAGGATCTGGTTTTGGACTAGACGTTAGGAGACTTGCTATGATTAGCAGTGGGACATTTAGCAAATTCACATTTCTGGGTTTGAGTTTTTTTTATATGTAAAATACATGTATATATTTTGCTCTCATTTTAATATTCTTTTTATGTTTATCCTTTAGAGATTAGCAAAACTAAAATTTTCTCCTGGTTGAAGTTATTTTTTGGAGAAAAATCAGAATAAATCAGATCAGATCATTCTGTCCTGAAACAGATGGAAACTGTGTTGAGAGCCTATTATAAAACTAACACATTGGGTTAGAAAACCATCTACTGCCAACCCGCTCCTAACTCAGAATGACTGAGCTGTTAGATGTCGAGTAGAAAGGCGGCAAGACCACTGTGAAAACAGAGTAGCAAAGGGGCCTAGGCTGGACCTCAGGCTTCTTGGGAAGAAACTGAAAATCTAGGTTTTATTTGCAGAAAATGGCCAAGAAAACATTGCAACTCATCCCTTCATCCTACTCAATATGGTAAGTGGTTTGCATATCTTTCCCACATCAGTTTGGACTCTGAGGTAAGTGAARTTTATTTGGGGCTTTCTCTACTCTCACTCTGACTCTTTTTCCCCTCACCTACGCTTTCCTCCTCTAGTCTCAATACCAGTATTCTCATCTTGTACCCTGAGCTGCAACCATATCTGCCCTCCCCTGGAGTTYTTTATTCAATCCTGCTGAGAATCTAACATCTTAACTACAAAACCTCTTTTCCTTTACTAACCCTTTCATTCCCCATTTCCTTTTTTCCCTCCCTCTTCTCTTTCCCTCCTTTCCTCCATCTTTCCTCTCTGTTCTCTTTCAACAATTACTTACTGAATGTCTGTCACTTGGCATCTAGGATACACTCGTGAGCAAAAAACTGAGATGGCCCTTTCCCTCATGCAGTTTGTGATCTACGGAGGGATACAGCCATGATACATCTAATTGTGTTCAATAAAYACAAAATTGTGATGGTGAAGATTTTTACATAGAAGGAATATAAGGTGCTGTGGAAAACAGGGAAAGAGAAATCTTTCCAAATAAAAAAGGTAAACAAAGTCTTTTCTGAGGAAGGGACTCTTATGCTACTGGATTCTGAAATGTCAGTAGGACATTCCTATGCAATGAAGGTAGAGAACTTTCTGGGTAGAATATAGAACATGTAGAAAGCAGTACTAGGATGGATACTTTTATGCATCAACATAAGGGATGCCGAGATAGCTGGTAAAATATTATTTTGGGGTGTATCATTGGGTGGCTTTCTGAAATATATTAATATTTAAATCAGTGGAGAGAATGAACATCACTATCACCATGGTGGGCTGGCATCATCTAATGCATGGAGGGTGCTACAWACAATAAGAGGTGGAGGAAGAGTGAAATCACTCTCTCTTCTTGAACTGGAATATCCATCTTCTCCTTACTCAGATATCAGCTTGCCTCAATTTGAGGCCTTCAGATTTCTACCAAGACTTGTAGAATTGGTTCCCTATTTCTCAGGTTTCAGGTTGAGACTGGGACTACCCCAACTTGTTTTTCTCAACCAGCATCTTTCAAGCTTCAGCCTGTGGGACTTCTAAGTATCCTTAATCAAGTGAACCTATCTTTCAAAATAATATTTTTCATATGTGTGTATGTATCTATCTAACTGTCTACATTGAATTATTATTTCTGTTTTTTTGTTTTTGTTTTTTTTCTTGGAAAACATCAACAAATAAAACTACTAAAGAAGTAGAGATAGTCAGAAGATCTGTTGGGGAGAGAAAGGGGAACTGTTTAATATGAGTCAAGATAGATATGTCCTGATCATGAAAATACAAACATTAGAGGATATATAAAAGGAGTGCAGCCTTATCTTTAAAATGATTTTACTTAAAGAGAGTGCTGTCATGTGGAGGAGTATTTGGAGAAAGCCAKAATGCAGTGGAATAAATGAGAAAAATATCCATTGCAATTGAACATGCAGTATATCTACAATACTATRTAGGTCCTGTTATGTGTCCATCATTATCCTGAAATTTTCCAATCTTCACTGATATTCCTCCATTTTATAGGTGATTAAACTAAATGCTGAGAAGGTAAGTAAATGTCCAGATTAGAGAGATAATAAACCTGAAGGAGGGATTCACACAGTTTTATGCCCCAAATTCTATGTTCTTAACACCTATGCTTTGTTTCAACTGGAAAATTCTGTAAAGCACTGAAGAAAGTTGACACTGGAGGTATTTCCCCATATAAATACACATACACATGAACTCATACAGATTATTTTGTCACACCTAAATTTGCCATCAGATAATTTGAAAGTACAGATTTGAGGCAGGGAAATATGGAAATCAGTGTATGGTTTGCAATTGCATATCAAAGAGAGCAGATCARAATAGAAAATATGTTTACGGTGTAGAAGAGGCCCTGCAATGGCTGTATTTCTGCCTCAGTGTGACATCTCAGCAGGCAGAGTGGTCACTGAGCACTCAGCACTTAGGAAAATCAATGCTTGTTGTGCTTCACCTGGATTGGTGGTCACAGTTCATCGACCCYCTGTTCTCCTCATGGGACAATGAGACCTGGGTACTTATTAGCAGTGAACTTGAATCAAGTTACTTAACCTCTGTGAACTTGAGCTTTGTTGTCTCTAAATTGTGTCAATAAGATCCACCTGCAAGGACGGTTTGGCGCTTCAAGGAGATGACACATCTGCAAATGTTGTAGTTTTCCCTCTCTGCCAATTCCTGGAAGATCTTCCACATGGCTGCTTGCCTCCTTCCTCCTCTCTAACTCTTCCTCACTCTTCTTCCTTCTGTCTTTCCTTTATTTCTTCTTTTAATGTTTTTCCTAATTATTTTTATATTTATTTATAATGAGGAATCGCTCACTCAAATTGCCACAAGTTTTGTTATTCCATTCATCTGGCTATGAATCAAGAGAATGAATGTAAAACAAACATGCAGATTATCACATTTACTCTTTAACCAAATGGATTGATTTAAAATAAGTTTTCAGGCCCCTTAGGCAGATTGAGAGACACATAACACTATCTTCTTTTTCTTTCCCTTAAAACAACATCCAGACACCCAAAATGACCCCATTTCTTATTAGAGTGTTCATGCCTCTTCTTTCAATAATACTTTGGAATCTCACTGAAACTAGGACTCTTGAAAAGACACCCTATCTTCAAAGKATTTACATTTCTCACTATTGAATTTGTGTTTTAGGACTATGAGATTGAGCAGGGAATGTAGCTCAGTGATAGAGCACTTGCCTTGAACATCAGTGGGATCCTGCRTTTGATCCCCAGCACCATGAAATATTAAAAAATATACATATATTTAAAGAAAAAAATATTAGGGCTCCTTTTTGAATTTCTAAGAACAGAACAATGAGTTCATAAGCAACTGGATTCTAAGTAGAGAGTGCTGTTTTATTATGGGGTGGTTTCTCCTTTATTTACATAAATCCCAGCATGAGATGGGCATTGCCCAGGAGAGCTACAGGGAAACTCTGGGTCTTCCTGGAGATTCATACTTTTGCCATGCATTATGAATAATTGAATTAATTATTCAAGACTGGATTTATGTTTTCATCAAGGTAAACATGCTGACCCTTCACTAAYAGTCAGGTCATCTTTGCAAAAATCTCTGCTGAAGAACCACTGAAATAATGACCCCAAAATGTTGACTTTATTTCAGGGACRAGTCAAGATTCTGAAGTGAGGTGGACTGAACTGACCCTGAGCCTTGACCCTCCTGTCCTGATATTAGAGATATTCAGWGTCTCCCATAGTGGGACACAAGCTCAAGAACTTGGTCAAAAAAGGAAAAAAAAAGTCAGGGGAAGTTTTGTTGCAAAAATGTTAGCCTAATACTTTTATCTTGATTGCAACAGAATATTAAACTCTGTTCAAACACCAAAATTATATGTCTAGTTAAAAATGACAGATGCCTAACYCTTGAAGTTGGAAGATGGGGAGATCTTTTGGTTCCTACATGTCACATCACAAATAATCTCTTTAAAAAATATTTGCAAATATCATCTTATAAACAACTTTGTGATAAATAAAGAACTCTTAAAACTCAATAATAAAACTGATATATTGATAAATGATTTAATATTTAATAAATTAATATTTTTCAATTAAAATGGTGAAATATTCATGTGGATTTTTTATCAACTTAATTGGCCATTCAACAAATTTTTTTCCTCTGTTTTTGATGTTTGGAGCCCTTAAGATGCATGATGGAATTGTGTTTTGAATTTTTTGGTAAAAACAGCKAAGTGAAGACCTGGAGATATATACTAGAGCCATCTCCTTGGAAGGATTCAGCATGGATAGATGGTAAAGATTTAAAGGGGAAGGAAGGATTGTTTAAAATAGTAAATCAGTAAGTCACTTCTAAATTTAAAGAAAACAAAACTGGAGTTGAAGAATAAGTTTGTTCCCATTGGCTATTGCCATTTTTTTAAAAAAATAAACATTTTTTTAAAAAACTAAAAAAAAATGGTAAAATATTTGAATACACATTTCACAAAAGAGGAAAGATGTCCAAATAACCACATGGATATTATATACAAATACGAAAAAATAAAAYATGAAGGGAGTGAAACTGAATACCAAAATGAGATAGTACTTCTCGCTCATTACATGGCTGTAACAAAAAGCACAGTTTGTAACAATGGTACAATCCCCTTGGAAAATGTTATTGAATTTCCTCAAAAGATAAACCAAAATGTTGCCATATTATAAAATGTAACCAAGATATTTACTTAGAACTTGATACATTGATATTCAGAGAAGACTGTTTTATAATAGCCCAAATCTAGTCCCAATCCAAATGTTCATCAATGATGAAAGAATAAGATAAATTTAGTATAATGCTATAATTGAATATTAAGGAATGAAAATAGATCTGTCTAATGAAAGATGTAAGTAGTTGTAGAGAAACACAACTGAARTAAAGTCATATATTGGGCAGAGGGAGCAGAGACATCCATTTCAGGTTCTTTTTGACTTCTCTGTGTAGTGTTTCTTTCCTATGGATACAGGGGGAATCTGTCACTTGAGGGTCCTATGACCCTTCAGAGTATTTCTGCTCTCACACAGACAGGCAGKGAATGTTTATAGTGACCTTCCTGCTTCTGATAGCGTCCCAATCTCCTTTAGTTAAAGTACTAAGTGGTAATGTGTCTTGAGTCCTTAGATGCATCTAGGCTTTTCTAATTGGTGTCTTATTGGTGAGACATTCCTTAAACAGACAACTTCCTGTCTAAAGTGCTATCCCCCATGCCCTGCCTGTCACCTAGTTTTAGTTTATTTTTCTTTAAACACTTGTCATATTTTATAAAATCTAAAATAATTCATTGTAAAATATCATCTGATATCAGGCAAGTCAAATGGGTCTTAGATTCGTCAAAATATTGAACATATATTTTCATTGGATATGTTAAACCAAAACTCTTTTGAGACTGACAGATCTTAGAAAAGGACAATGTCATGGGACAAGTTCCCACAAATATCAGCAGGAGGGCTACATAGCAGATGAAAATATGTCATGTAGACCTAAAGCTAAGAGAATTTTTATAAAGACAATTTGAGGAAGAAAAGCATAGTTGTTTATACTGAATATAGAAAGAAGGAAGGAATAAGATAAAACAGGCCAAGTTTGGGGATAGGAGGAAAACCCATGAGAAGTACTTGTTGCTTTTGGATTGTTTGGGATTCTTAACAGGATATAATGGCAAGTAGTGAAGCAGATGTTTGGGTTTTTGTTTAAATATATATTCAGAAATGTGGAACACTCTTTCATTGGTTTGGCTGACAGCTATTAACTGATTAACTTCTCTTATCTCTCTTTGCCTCTATGTTCCAGCCCCTTTAATTAAACTTAGGATATTCCAGAATTTTTCTAATATCACATACTTTTATATAGTTACAAATGTGTTATATAACTTGTTGTGTAGTTACTAAACTTAGGTAGTCTTGTCTGTCTCCTTCAAGTCAACCAGGAACATTACTTATTACTGAAATTCTCCATAASAGTCAATAGCAGTGTCCAGCACCTGGTGGGTCCTCATTATTGAATGTRCAAATGATTGGCCTCAGTTAGGAAAGCTCACTATCCATGCTATTCTATGTGACTGTTCAATAGTAGGCAACAAGTTGTAAGTAGAGGGCAGTGATTTAGCAATATTATYGCTTGACTCTTATGCTACCCTTTCTTGAGGTTTTCACACCTATTGGTTGAAGAAGTCAGGACATTAACAGATCCTGCTATTATAAGTCATATAAACTTTATACCACAAACTACATGGTGAGTAGATGTTATTGCAAATGTGAAGTGTTAACTCTAAAGTTCAAGGTCTCTCAGATAAGAAATTTTTTTTTTTTATCTCCAAAGACCTTATTCACTCAGAATCCTATGATATGTGGAAAGGTGTGTAGGGGTGTGTGTGTGTGTGTGTGTGTGTG